TTCCCCCCCCCCCCCCCCCCCCCCCCAAAAAAAAAACAAAAAAAAAGTCTAGCACCACAGAGAAAATGTTGAAAAAGTTTAGTTTTTATGATAGTAAGTTTGTATCAATACCATATGAATCTCATGTACATTTGAAGAAAAATAAAGGACAACCGATTTCACAATTGAAGTAAGCACAAATGATTGGATCTTTATTATACATAGCAAAGAAGTCTAGACCTGATATCTCGTATGCCGTAGGGAGACTAAGTAGATATACACACAGTCCGAGTAAAGAGCATTGTGTTGCCCTAGAAAGAGTTTTTACGTATCTTAAAAGAACCTTAGACTACTCTTTGTGTTATAATAGATTTCCTAGTGTAGGTGAGGGCTTTAGTGATGCAAATTGGATCACCGATAATTTAGATATAAAATTCACTACTGGCTATGTTTTTTCGTTAGGAGAAGCAGTCATATCTTGGGGATCTAAAAAACAAACCCTAATATCAAGAAGTACTATAGAGTCAGAACTTATAGCCTTAAATACCACGTGTCCTAAGGCTGAGTGGATAAATAATTTATTACTACAGATACCTCTAGTGGAAAAATTCATACCTGCCATTTCATTACACTGTGATGGTAAGACAATGATTGAGCTTGTGAAACAAAATCATAATAATAAAAAAATGAATAGACATATGCAAGTGAAACATAGATCAATAAAGAAAATCCTGAGTAAAAGCATAATCTCACTAGACTTTGTAAAGTCTAAGCTTAATATAGTTGATCAGTTAACTAAAGGGTTTTCGAGGAAAATTGTCTCAGAACTGTCGAAGGGGATAAGCTTAAGCCCACAAGAGAATCACCTAGGAAGGTAACCCAACTTCTGTGATTGGGGACTCCATAAAGGAAGTTCAATAAGTAAAAACAATCCATACTGCGTGACTCATTAGCACTATTATTAAGGAAATACCCAAAATGAGATATTTTTCCTGCTCATCCCTATGGCAGAAATGCATATGTAGTATGATGGTAAAGAAGGGTTTTATCTTGAATAAGATCGAGACAAGAATACTCCTGCAGGGTATTGGGCATATGTACCCTTAGAGGGCTTATCTAAGTGAGAGTAATCATGAGACCGCAACTATGAGAATTGAGCTATTCTCTAGAAACTCTCATGAGAATCAAGATCAAGTGCATGACCATTAATAACACTGACCTGCGAATCTTGGCCAATATTGGTACTCTGTGTGTGACATGCTGAACTCTAGTTCAAAAGATCTAGTTCAAGTCTTTGGTTACTATTATCTTTTAGAAGAAAACTGTTAACACTAGGTGAGGTTTAAGTTTAAAAGACACTTACACCTATTGCACGATATAATAGTTGCTCATATTTTCTATATTAAAGTATATACAAAATATTTGAGATACATTGAAGTTTTAAAAACTTGTGGGGGATTGCAAGAATAAAATTTAAGTTTTTAAAATTTTTATTGAATTTCTATTTTAATTATGTTTAAATTGTGAATTTCAGTTGCAAACTTTTTAGTCCTATTTAGTGTGTATATTCAAGAATAATAATTATTGACCTTAAAATTAGTTTTATGGCTATTTAAGGCCAAATAATAAAAACCATTGAAAAGTCACATTAGTCCTAACAATAAAAACCATTGAAAAGTCACATTAGTCCTAACAATAAAAACCATTGAAAAGTCGACATGTGCCAAATAGCTATAAAAAAAAATAAAATTAAATACTCATCATGTGTACGTTAGACCCACGATGACTATATAAGTGACTTTGAGATATATTTTGGCCTGCAACAAAAATCAACACTTCAGGAAATTTTCCAATTCCTCGTATCAGTTCTTTTACATTTGGCATACCTTTTTTAATTATTATCTATTATTTTATTTTTGAACAATTCAATTCGAGTCAGATTCATTCCAATCTTCTAGTGGACGTGACCATTAAGAAGGTGTTGCTACGAGCGTCTGAATTCAATTTGGAGTCGCTGGTGTCTACCAGTACCCTCACGTGGGAGAGGTCACCTACTTTAAGACAGTGATCACACGTCTCTCAAACTTGCAGGTCAGCTCATTACAAATTAATTTTTTTGGTTTATATAGATTGCATGTTTATATATTTTATATATTTATTTAAATTGCAAGTTATATTTTTAATGATCTAACTAATGTTTGCATGTTTTATTTCAAATTTTAGATAATAACACTAATAATTATTTTGCTCACATCATTACTTCTAATAATTGTTGATTTGGCCAAAAAATCAGTAGCAATTTTTTATTAATTCCAATTATAAATCTATGCTTAAAATCTATAATTGTTTTTACATACACATTATATATATGCACAGATTAAGATTACGGTACCGACTATATTATCTTATTGAAATTTATAAATAAGGGTGGATTAGATATAATTTATTTAAAAATAAATTACGACTCAAAATTATTTACGACTTGATAGCATTAAGTTATAACTTAAAAAATTAAATTGAGTCGAGTTTTGTGAACTTGAACCCAAATTTGACGAGTTTATCAAACCCGAGTCCGAGCCCTGGCCCGAGTAATTCTACTATTTTATATATAAACAAGCAAAATTTTATAAACTTGAGTTGAACCTTTAAAGATCATTTTTTTAAATAAGTTTAAAAAATTATTCAAATTCATCTCGTTTAGAACACGAGTCAGGTTTGATCCGAATTTTATCTGAGCCGAGTCCAAGTAGATTGTATCGATTAACATCCCTAGTTATGAGTATGAAGTTTTATATTAGGTCTATTTGGAGTTGAATTAAAACTATAGATTTTTTTGTTTTTGTAGAGAAAGAAGTTTGGATCGTTTGAACCCGGACTTATTAGACGACTTTTTTTTTCTTCAATTTTTTGGATAAAAATAACTTTTATCAACACCAAAAATAAGCTAAAAATTGTAACTTAAGGAAAGTCGAATTTTTTTAAAACAATCAAAACAGGTTGCAGTAGTTTTTTAAAATTTGACTTTTTTATTTCACTCTTTAAACAACTGTTTCACACTCAAAAAAGTGAAATTCAAACGAGACTATAGAAGATTCAGCCATAAGGTTGTTGGAACCTAATTTACTTACTTAATTTGTTGATCTAATTCACTATGATCTTTGAGTTGACTGTGGGCTCCATCAAATATTGAAACTTGGTGTTAATTCAATGGTTCTAATAAAATCACGTCATTAGGTCAACAAATTATGTCAAATTTTTAGGTCAAAATAACAGTTTTCATAGTTTAATAGCATTAAATTATAAATAAAAAAAAATTAATATTGAGCCCAACATCTTAAACGATCTCAAACAACTACATTATGACGTTATCTCATCAAATTAAATTGTAACTTCACTCTTATTCTCAATCGTAATTCATCTCATTTTAAAAAATCCTAAAGGATAATTTTTCAATACTATAATTTTACCCATAAAATATAAATACAGAAATAGGGATAATTTGGATTAATTTGAGTTAGAGAGTTCTTGAAGGTTTTGGATTCTTTTATTTCTTGTGGGATAAGGGTTTTTTTTTTCTTGAACTTTGAGACAAGGATCTTTATTTTCTCTCTTGTTGGTACATGTGATCTTCTCTAAGCTTGCGTTGTCTATCTTGATACATTTTGATATATTCAAAGAGTAACTGATCAAATTTTAGAATCAAATTTAAAATCTAAATAAGATGACAGCATATTATTTGAAATTTTTATTGGGACGTAAATGACATGACACCAAAAAAAGAAACTTAAGTCAGCTGCTATATTATTTTGACTCTAAATTTGATCCCTAAATTTAGTCACCGTAGCATTAATGATTTTGAAAATAAAATTTTGTGTTAAAGATTCACGAGGCAATACAGTGGCTTTTTTGGAAGGGTATGCAATTGTAATATTACGATAATGTATTGTTGGTTTGCCACCTGTGATTGAACAACTTAACGTGGCAGCCACTGCACATGTCTCTTTCTCTCTCCTCAGTTTTGCACTTTTTGGCTTGTAATAGAATTGTTAAAAATATTTTAGCAATCCTTCGTCCGAAGAGGTGAGATATTTATTTTTTATAAATATTTTAAATTAGAGATAAATAATATGTTTAATGGACATATATTTAAACTGATTTGAATAGTTCTAACTATTAAACCCAAAAAATATATATTTTTTATATAATACTAGTAATACAAATTGGTCGTATTAATATTATTCAAACTTATTTATAATAGTATTTAATTAGACGTGTTAATTTCATATTCATAACATCTCGGGTTATAGGACTTGTGTCGATAAGAAAATTGACACCTCTAGACCACATCATTCTCTAGACGTCTGCATAGAGTTCCTGTTTTTGTAAAACATGCTATATTGCATTTGATTCAATATGCTTATAATGGATCATTCACAATTTGTGAGAAAGACTAGGCAAGAAATCTATTTCTCTCAAACAGGTTAACCATTAAATTAACAAGCCATTTTTTCTGTGATCTTAGCCAAAGACCTAAGGTTACACCCTACTATAGTATCAACAAACGAGCATGTATCCTCCCTGCTACTTCCTGCCGGAACATCCACCACGTACGACTCGATCGCCACCGTCTTACCACCTATCTCTCCATTGTCCTCATGCAACGTAATGGTCGATCGATAATTAGCAAGCCGGTGATCACCGCCGATAATCCTGAACGACATTACATGGAAGTTGTCATCGAGCTTCTCAAGCTTCTCTATGCTGGTTTTGGCCGGTAGACCGGACACAACCACGACATCACGTACGCTTCCAACGCCACCATCACCGGTTCGCATGGTGCAACTCTTGATGAACTTCTTATAGGCTTGTGGCTTGTCGAATCTTCGGACCATGGACCACACAAGAGGAAGTGGTGCATCTGTGGTTTGAACCAGCCTCGAGCTGCACTGGTTTGGTAAGAGATCGTGTGTGTGGTAAAGGCTCATCATCATGGCTAGTTTTTCAGAGCTCTTCATATCATCAACTTGGTCTTGTGTGGCACCTGAGATTAGGCCACCCTATAGTTTTTTATTACCTTAGTTCCTTCTCTCTCTCTCTCTCTCTCACACACACACACACAACCACAACATACACAAAGCAATTGTTGATTTATATTTATCCCACAAAGATGTGGACAATGCTGCTTACGAAGCTATATTTGGATTTTATGAGCATAAAATCCTAATATTCAAGCTTCTTGGCTGACGTGATTCTCTGTCTAGTTACATTGATCTTTGAATTCCTAGTTCGATATGTACAAAACTTCCATGTCTTCTTCCTGGGACTTCTTTTTGTTGAAAATCTTCTTGATCACATTACGTGGTAATGTAGATCTGTATTGAGTCAGGTGTCGATACAACGGTGATACTATGTCAATATTGATGACATGATATCATAAATCAATAATAGAACTACAAATGGATAGAATAAACCCTATTTGAATAGTTATTAATTTACATAAAAAAAGAGTAAGTTATTAATTTGTGTGAAATCTATTTTTTTATTTGTCTGCATATTAATATTCGGTGATATCACAGTGACAATTCTGACGTGATATCACACTTGCAATGAATATTTTTGTGTAATGTAGGGAGTCTAAACTTCAACATAACTTACCGGTTGACAGTGGACTTCATTCAAAGTTAGAACTCGGAACTAATCCAAAAACCAGTGTATTAAATCTTCAAATTAAGTCCCAATAATATTGTTCATTTACAGATAGCCTCCTCTGTTTTCTTCTTTTACTCTCTTTCACACAAACAAAACAACATACATACCCGCCCACGTCCCCTCCCCCCAAGTCACAATACTCTCATACATATCCTTTGAGAACAATATATCTATCTGTAAACACACACTTGCCCCCCCTGCCCCCTCGCCCTCCTCTATAAAAACAAAAAACAAAAAACGCACACACACGCACACGCACTCGCACTCATATATGGGTCCCTTTTCTTGTGGTGCAATGCTAGTTGATGTAAATTCGGATTGGCCTTTGGTTGGGTGAGTCAGTGACCTAGTGGTGGGCTATAGGGCTGAGGATAGTGGGCTTGCTGATCAGCTCCATGTGTGCGCACGTGTGGGTTTGAAAGAGAGGTGAAGAAAAAGCAGCAGCAGCAGCAGCAATAGTAACAAGTATATATAGATCACAGAACCAATGTAATATATTATACAAAGAATTACAAGACAATTGAAAGAAACTGTGCAATGTGTTCAAGTCAGAAGGGTTTTTATAAACTACAAGGACACGATTCATATCCACAAGTATCATAACTTCCTTCCTCTGTGACTGTTACATAAGGTTAACGAAAATTTCAAACACAAAGTACCTGATTTCTACTTCTTCACTCATTTCTATGTAAATCAGGAAACCATATAAGAGAAATTTAGAAACAAAGGATCGTGTTATCCTTTCACTAAGAGCCTATATAACATTAGTGCCAGTTGTGAAGAGAAAACTCGAACACAAGCCCGCAACATGATAGCATCAAACATGACAGAATCAAAGCAATCCAACAAGTTAATACACAGTTTGTTCCACCATAGAATAATACCACTTCCAACATGTCAAATGAATCCTACAAGACTGAACATTTCTGGCAAGTCATACTCATTTAAGAGAGGCTCATAACAATTTAAAAAGCACAACACTTCTAAAACACTTTTCGGATGTAGCTCAATTGATTTGAGTATGAAACACCACTGTTCTGTAGGGACAATGACGAAAACAGGGTCATGGTGTTATTGATCGAGTTTTTCACCAAAACCCTAACTAAATAGAGAAACAAAATAGTACAATTATTCAAAACCATCACCACAGAACACCCAAAAACAGGTATACAAACATATTTTTCTCCCCCGTCCCCTAAATAATGCAAGTTCTATTTAAAATCAAAAGTAAAAAGTAAGAAAAAAAAAACTGCAATTTAAGGTGCTCTCGGGTCTGTCCCGTGTTGCCAAACATAAACAAGTTCATCCCAACCGGTACTTGCCAAAAGCCCCTCAACAAGCACACTCATGTCCACCCCAACTGCGAATTCCGTATGGTGGTCATACCTCCCAATAAGTGCATCCTCCACCATATAATCCCACAAACACACTGTCATGTCATAGGAACATGAAGCAATCACACTCCCTCTGTGTGGCGAAAACTTCACCTTCCTCACCGCATAGCCATGCCCATTGAGCACTGCAATGGGCATCCTATAATTCCTCACATCCCAAACTTTTATAGACTTATCAACGGATGCAGTCGCAATGATGCAATCATCGTACTTATTCCAATCACACGACAGTATCTCAAATTCGTGTGCAGGTAAAATCATGGTAGACCCTGAAAAGCAATCAATATAATCAATATAAGGATGATTCCGAACTTCATATGCAACGAATCATAATAACAACCGTCTCCAATTTTCCTGCAAAAACTTAAACTTTATCCCTGTACTTACACTAAAACTAAGACTCGATAATCCAACAAGCTTATTCCAAAAGCACCCAATTATATTCAAATTCCCAAATGTTTCAAGTAATTTTATTTTTTACCCAAAAAAGTCTCTAATTTTTTCAAC